TTGATAATTTCATACATGAAATATGATCATATATATCCCCATTTGCTACGCCAGCATAGCTGACTGAGTTCCTTGGATCGGCAAGGGCTGAGGGCGAGAGAAAGAAAGACAAGGAGTCATCTGGTAAAGAACCAAATGCTATATTTTCAACTGCATAGCTTCCTTTTATACTCCCCACAAAACAGGAACACAAACAAGAACAGGAATACAAACAGGAACAAGGATCAAAACAGGAACAAGGAGACACACTCGGCAGCCTACCACCCAAGCTTGGATTTCTCCTCAAGCAGTCTTCTCAGGGAAATGCATAGAGATGGGGGATTGGGCACAACAGCACAGGTGCAGAGGATGGTGACTCACAATTCACCCTTTTTCTTTTAATTAGAGGCCGAGCAGAGACAGAGACCAGACCCTCAGTGAAAATTGGGGACATTGTAATGACCCCCAGCCCCCTGCCGTTGTACAGTGAGGTGGTATGGTCATAACCCATCCCGGTGTCTTTTTCCTGACGAGGGGAACTGTATCGACACCAACCCCTATGCAGCCAGGCATGTCTCTCAGGGAAACTCCCTTGCAGTCCCAGCTGCAGCTCGGGCCTAGGTTGTAACATGGTCAGCCACACTTGGACAGAGGGATCCCCTCGACCATGTAAAAGCACCAATCCTTGCACAAACAGCTTGAGATTGTACCTGTTGTGCCTGAAGGTGGCACAGATGCCCAAAAAACAAGCATCAGCAAAATTAGGCTAAAACTGTCAAGGAAGAAACTCCAGCCCACTCTTTCACCAGCATTCCCACTTGAAGAAACATGCTTAAGATAGATGACCCATCAATAGGATCAACTCTGGTATCGTTAACTAATACAATCTTATTAAAGAGCTGCCGAGTAAGATTATAACAAGTAGCATTCCAAGAGCCAGAAATCAACGGATTCAAATACAAATGGCATGAAAGAAGGGATCATAGCTAACATGTCTGGTGGACAATATAAAATGTACTTGTTCTTGAACCAAAGCAATTTGTTGATTTGAATCTAAAACAGCAATATGAAAATGAGACGGAATATCACTCTGAGAAAGCAATGTATCTGTACCCTCCCCGAAAGTTCATTCAATGTCTGGGCAGTTTGTATGTTGTTGGATAAGGCAATGCCTGTGCCCACAGCGGTCCCCACAGCGATGGCAATGGTGGCAAGGATCCGGTGCCATGTTGATGCAGTTCTTCCAGGTGGTGGTGGAGGTGAAACGGAGAACAGATGGTGCATCCTTGGAGCATTTGAGCAGAAGTAACCGAATCGATGGGTTTCGTTTTCTTTTCTTCATCAACGAACACTTTGGGGCAGGGGCCTTCTCAGGGAATACAGTACATGCTCTGGGTGCTGTTGTGGATGAAGCCTCAGGGACATTTCTGCATACACTCGCTGTCATGGATGACAAAGCCATCCGTGTCACTGGTTTCGGTGTTGGAGATATTGGCGCAGAAATCTCGGTCCACACAGCGCCCTGAACCTGTAGGTGCCAGGAGGGCAGAGAGGCAGGCACGCACACGCCTCGGCAGTAGTAGTGTCGGCAGGCCACACAGGCTGTGCTGCCCTCAGGCGTATGGCAGCTGCCCAGGCACTCCGGGTGGCAGCACACGTCGTTCTTGGTGCAGGCTCACCTCCTGCACACACCTGGGCATATTCTCTGGCAGCAATCTGCGGTCCAGCGGCAGCTCATCGTTGATGGTGGTCCTCTCACACATGGGCCTCCCCTCCAATGTCCCTGGACACAGGTCCCCACATTCTCTTGGGGGCTTGTTCCCCACAATCCAGCATCCAAGATGAGAGACTAGTCCATGGTGGAGAGACAACAGAGGTCAGCGTTTCTCTAAATCCTGATGGCCCCCCTGAGTATTGTTCCTCAGACTACAAAGCCCAATATCTCTAAGATTGGTCATCTCAAAGATGACCAGTGCACAGCTGCAGAAGAGTTTCCAGCCATGGACCGTGAGGTTCGGGACGAGGTCCCCCAGGCTCTCGAGGCCGGCCACACAAGCACTAGGTGATGACTGTGAGCCTGGGGAACCGGCAGCCTCGGCAGTTCCTGGCCTTGGAGATGAGCAGTTCATGGAGGAAGCCCCCATCACCGCACAGTTCTCCAGGCACCCCAGCTACCGACAGTCATCGTGGATGTCAATGCTGGGCCCACAGACCTCTCCACTCGTCAGCTAGAGCGAGAGCACAGCGGAGAGAAACAGGAGCCCCCACAGCGAGGTCGGAAACTCTCCTCCAGGGCCAGACCCCACCCCTCTATCTGGGATGAAATTCTCCCCTCTCAAGAAAACAAAACAAAACAAAACAAAACAAAACAAACAAACAAACAAAAAAGCAGAAAAAAGTCTCCAACTCAGTCCTCACTCTCGTCTAAAAACAAGAGCTCAGGCAACGATCCTCGAAAGCGATCCTCGAAAGCAGTGTGGACAGGGAGGGTGGCATTTGCAACCTAGAGATGCAGAAGAAGGAGGAAAATTGTACAGAAAGAAATCGCCACAGGGGAAGACAAACTCCCCAAACTGATTTTCTAAGGAATAAAGAAAGGGCCATGGCGATCGGCAGCACCACAAAAATCATCTATTACCTTTTTCCCAGTCTTCCAGCTTAAAAGTGCCACTTGCCACAAATCATGGAGAGAATTTTTGTAATTCTTTCATAAATTCTTCAATAACCCTAGCTTCAACTGTGGTTCCCCGCTGAGCCAGAAAAGTAGATAGTTGCTTAGCCAGCAACTCCTTACTATGTGCCAAACCCATGGCGTTTACTTACCCCGAAAACTTACCTTCGGTTCGTGCCCAATGTGTCTCCTGTCTTAATGCACGCCCCGAAGACCCCGTCAGCAATCTTCCTCATCTTTCAGATCTCAGTGAAACCTCCACTTGTCAGCTATGCCAGCATAACTGACTGAGTTCCTTGGATCGCGGAGGGCTGAGGGCGAGAGAAAGAAAGACAACGAGTCATCTGGTAAAGAACCAAATGCCATATTTTCAACTGCATAGCTCCCTTTTATACTCCCCACAAAACAGGAACACAAACAAGAATAGGAATAAAAACAGGAACAAGGAGATACACTCAGCAGCCTACCACCCAAGCTTGGATTTCTCCTCAGGGAAATGCATAGAGATGGGGGAGTGGGCATAACAGCACAGGTGCAGAGGATGGTGACTCACAATTTACCACCTCCAAATCATCCCATATCCAACTGAACACATCCTTCAATCAATTTCATGCTTTTTGTTTTTTAAATAACCCACTGTGCTGGATACTTTTATTTCAACTTAACAGAAGGTAGAGTCATTTTAGAGGAGGGAACCTCAGTTGAGAAAATGTCCACATTAGATTGGCCTAAGGTCCATTTTCTTGACTTGACAGTTGATGCGGGAGGAACCCTCTCACCGTGGGTGGTGCCACCCTTGGTTGGGTGGTCCTAGATGGCATAAGTAAGCAGGCTGAGTAAGGCCAGGGGAGCAAACAGTGAGCAGCACTCCTCCATGGCCTCGCATCAGTTTTATTGCCTGGTCTCTGCCCTGCTTGAGTTCCTGCCTGGATTTCCTTCATGATACTGGGATGTCGAAGTATAAGCCAGATAAATCTTGTGTTCCTCAGGTTGCTTATAGTCATGGAGCTTTCTAGAAACCTAAATAAACACTATGTCTGTGCTGCTCTTATGTGCATGGATGTGGGGCTGTCCCCTGGAACATGGGAGTCTTATCAGTGGCCACACCCTCAAAAAAGAACAATTCTCTGTCTCCAAAAACTGTCAGTTGCCAAAAGCTCCTCAGAAAGAAGTGAGGGGTAGGGCTTAGAGAGCCTCTGCCCTGTCTACAACTGGATCGAGACGAAGGCAGGAAAACACTCATGGGCATTTGTGCACACACACAACATACTTTTTAAAACATGGGGGAAGCCTACAATTAACTTTAAGAATTACCTTGTCAAACTTATTTGGAATAACTAGTTGTCATTACACTCTCCAGTCTAAAGCTATGAAACGACCAGGAGTAAATATAAATTTAGGTTCACCTTAAACTTTTCAAACATCCTGGCTGAACTAGATCATCACAGCTGGAGGCTCTTCTGTAACATCTGCAACCCAGGGCCAGCTCTGTCTCCAGCCCAGTGCCTCTTCTGCTTGCACAAGAGCAGGGCAGATGTCCTGCAGGTTGGCCCTGTCCTCTTCCCAGCCCTGTGCAGCACACAGCAGCAGCCTTTCAGCTCCTGGCTGAAGGTGGAGTTGGGTGTCAGGTATGTTCCCTACTCTGGTCTTTCACTTCCTGTATCACAAGTAGGCTGCACTAAAAGGGACAGACTTTCCCCATAGATGGATAATTATGGGGAATTACAACAGAAGAGGGGGAAAGTCTAGAACTTGATCTAACAGAGCTTTCAGTAAGGAAGTGCAGTCAGTTCCCATTTCTCAGACATGCTGCTCAGCATAGGGGTTAACCCGGCTCCTTGTTGCTGAAGCCATGGCAGAAAGCACTTGAAGATTCTACTGTTATTTCCCTTTCTTCTAATTACTTTGGTAGTTCTCTGGGTCTCCCATTGGGCCTTTTCTCCATCTGTACAATGGAAGTGATTGCTAGACTTCTGCCCTCTTCAGCCTCTGAACCTAGATAGGTATCTGCCTACCTCATACCCCAGCCAGTCCTGTAGTGTGTTCAGGCTGGGTACTGAATGAACACCATGGAGGGGTACAAGCCACATAGCAGATATCATTGCTGTTACTACAATTAAACCAAAAAGTGTAAATTATAACTCTTGATTCTAAAGTTGTACAACCTGTATATGTCTTAGCTAGGGTTTTACTGCTGTGAACAGACACCATGACCAAGGCAACTCTTCCCCCCACCCCCAGAGGGAAAATTTCATTTAATTCTACAAATTTACAACCTGCCCCAAAACAAACAACATGGGAAAATAACAACAAAGTTGTCCTGATTCAGCAGATCTGGCTGTTGCCACCTAGTTGGGCCAAGTCCATCAAGCTGACCTCAGAACTTGAGGCTGAAGCTAGGGCCAGCAGCTGAGGCTCCTTGGTTGGTGGTGGTGAGGTGGAAGCCTGTCTCCTTCAGGTCATCATCACTCAGCTTGCTGTAGCCCAGGCCGCCCTCAGGGGGCCATGGACTCGTGCCTCAATTCACCCTCTGCTGCTCACTCTTGGCAGGCCATGTGGGGAACATGGATGGCTCGATGGGGAAGGGAGTCTCTAGGAAATACTCATGCTTCAGGTCATCTTCTGTGTTGACCCTCCTCCCAGGGCAGTATGTCAGAAACTTATTCACGAGATCAAATCCTTGATCTGATAACAAAGCCCCAAATCGCTTGCGGAGGTTGTTATAGGGATACTCTCTGAAGGTCATCTTCTTGATGGCTGGGAGGTCATTATAGCCAGGCCAGATTTTTTCACTGGGAGTACCCAGGTCCTTGAAAATCATGTTAATCTGATCAGTCACTGACTTCCCAGGGAACAGAGGTTTCTGTGTCAGCAGTTCTCCAAATATGCAGCCCACTGACCACATGTCCACAGCTGTGGAGTATTCCTTAGCACCAAGCAGCAGTCCTGGGGCACGATACCACAGGGTTACAACTGGAGTGTAGGCCTTTAGGGGTGAACCATAACCCTAGCCAACATTTCTACTTAGCAATTCAGAACTATGCCTTTAGATAAGGATCCCTCTCATCTGTCTCTGGCTTAGGAAATGTGAGCAGAGAGTAGGGTGTGTGTGAAAGGAAGAGTGAAGGCCACAAGGGAAGAGTGAAAGCCACAAGACTGTCGGCAATGAATCACTAAAAGACTGGAGGAATGTGCGGTTTTACATCTCCAGGCTGGGAGGACTATAAAGAGGCTCTCCCTGTTCAACCTGGTCTAGTTAAAAGTGGACCCACCCCATTCCCTCACACACCCTTCCTCTCCACCACTGCTTTGCAAAACTCTCCTTCTACCACAAGATATTTCCCTAGACTCTCCCCTTGAGTTTCCTGGGCACCTTTCTATCAGTCAGTGTTACATAGGAGCCACCCTTTGCCTTTCCTGATTAAAGATTTGCTTCAACACTCTTTAGCATAAGCTCCTGGCAAGATATAAGCCAGAAGTTAAAGCCTGAACCCTTCTGCTGATGCGTGACTGTTATTCCTGAGGGAGGTCTTTGGTCTGTTTTATTCCCATAGCCCAGTGATAATGCCAGTGAAGTGCATGTGTTTGGTCCATCCACAGAGTTCTTGGGAAGCCTAAGCAGGAAAAAGAATAGAATGAAGCATAAACTTGACAGGTGTGTGGATTTCTAAGTTCCCATGGCTGACACAGTGGACTAACGGTCTAATCCCCTCTGCCCCCTTCTCAGCCAGCATATCCATTTGAGGAAGTAAACTTAATTCTCTGGAGGTTCTGCTGACTTTCATCATTTACTGCAGCTGGGGATGAGGTGTGTCAGGATGAGTATCAGGGTTCTGAGGATGCTTCAGAGAAGGGAACAGGGGTAGGAAGGGCATCCCCCCACCCCACCCCTGGGGCCTCACAGCCTTCTTTTTCAGACCTTGGTTGACCTTGGATCAGATCTTAGCAATCTAGCTCCCCTTGAAGACTGGGTGGTCAACATTCCTCTTCATTTGTAAGCATGCTGCCCAGGGTTGCTGCTGAAATGCCGTCGGGTAACACTGTCAGGCAAAGGAGACAGTTCCTAAATAGGGTATTGCAGGACAAGGCTGAGATTGTCAAGTCCCAGCTGTTGATTGAAGGTTTGGTATTCTCACTACTAAAGCACAGAGAAATGTCTTGGGTTTTCAAATGTATTTACTTTCACTCCTCAGAGCAATATTGTTTGTTTTGTTTTGAGACAAGGTCTCACCATATACCCCATAGCTGGCCTGGAACTCACAGAGATCATCTGACTCTGCCTCCTGAATGTTAGGAATGACAGTGTGTGCAGCCATGGCCAGGCCTAGGCTCTCCACTCTTATTTCATTGTTCTTGCTGAGGGAACTCAGAAAGGCTTTGGATACTAGGTGTCAAATTCCCCCAAGAGCTTGGCCTATGGGAAAGACTCCTGATGAGAAGCAGCCACAGAAATGTGAGTGTTCTGGGGCCTCCTCTCAGCTGCCAGCATTCCATGTAGAAAGGAAGTTCTGTGTCCACCTGGAGGTTGTAGAGAACAAGGGTCGGAGAATAGAAAATCGCCAAGATTGTTGCAACTCTGCACATCTTTAGAGCACCAGCTAAGGGCTGGATGAACTCGGCGTGCACACATATAGGGGAAAGCTAGGACTACATCCTCACAGTGTCGCCCAGAGAATCCTAGCTCTTTCTGGCTGCTCTGGGTCATCTGACTGACCCATTTGTCCACTGGTGCCTTTCCCCTTCCCTGGGCATTGGAAATCTCCAATGAAAGAGCAGCTTCTCTCAGGCATCCATCCTGTGCCTCGCCATGATGAGGCAGTGGCTGGCGCCTGTAACTACAGTGATTTTCCTCTGACTTTATCACACTCATGAGCAGTAGGGAGAGAGAGGAACCTGTTACTCCAGCTGTGGGGGTCTCTGCACAGCAGCCACTTTAAAGACTCTAGTCTGACTGGTACAGCAAACTTCATTTGGCTTCTGTCCATCTGGTTTATTCCCCAGCTCTGTGACATTTTGAATCCTGCCTGACTCTTGAACTTATCTCTGAAAAAATATTTAATTATCTAGCCCAGTGGTTCTCAACCTTCCCAATGCTGTGAACCTTCAATATAGTTCCTCGTGTTATGGTGACTCAAACCATAAAGTTATTTCATGGCTACTTTTGCTACTGTTATGATTTGAAATGTAAATATCTGATATGAAGGATATCTGATATGCAACCCCCAAAGGGGTCACAACCTGCAGGTTGAGAATCACTGATATAGCCTAGTAATTAACTCAGTTTTTGTTTGTTTGGTTGTTTGGTTTGGTTTTAGTGCCTATGATCTGTGTAGCAGGTCCTGGTACAATACAAAATAAGAATTCAAAAGTAAGAAGACATCCCATGGGGTGGGGCCTGGAAGGGCCTGGAAGGAAAGAATGAGGTTTACCAAGAAGGCACATGAGCTGGTTCTGAAGTAAGATGGCAGCATCTTCTACAGAAGAAAGGGAGCCCAGAGAGGAGGGTCTGTGGGTGACTGTGCCCATGAGTGTAGGGAAAAATGGGCTCAGATTTTCTCTGTTAAATAAAAGAGGAAAGGGACCTGGAATTGGCATCAATAACCCAGAAGTGGTCAAGTGGCCTGACTGGGCGTTGTCAGGGAAAGAGATGTGTAATTGGGAAAACTGATTGTCTTAGCACTGCCTGCTTTCCCATGCCTACCCATCCCCCAGAAATAAGGTCCTGAGGCCTCCAGGATCACCATGCTTGACTTACTCAGTAAAACAACATGTTCTTAAAGGGCAGCGACTTTGAATTCCTTCAGAGGTTCAGCAAACCGACACACTTTATTATGAGTTAGTTGCTAAGTACATTCTCTAGATAAAGCCAAAGCTTGTCCTTGGTGTGACCTTCTGCGCCCACCAATCCTCATGTTGAAACCCTAATCAGCAACACGTCTGGATGTGACTAATGAGATGAGATAGGACCTTTCGAGCGTAATTAAGTTGAACAAGGTCATTAGAGTAGACCTTAATCCAGGATGACTAGTGTCCTTATGAAAGATTAGGACACAGACTCCCAGAGGAAAGACCACAGGAAGCCAGGACAGCCAAGATCAAGATTCCAACAGATCTAGGATCTAAGAGGGGCCCTCTTCCTGATTTTCACATGGTATCTTCTCCCTGTGTCCTGATATGGCAGAAAGTAGAGAAAGAAACTCTTCAATGTTTTGATAAAGTCACTATAGCCATTTATGAAGAGCCCTCTTGTGACCTCCTGACCTTCCCAAGGCCCCATCTTCCCACCTGTCTCACAGAACTAGATTTAACACACACAGATTACAGCAGGCTCTGTATTAGAACTCTCTCAAGCTCATTGAGTATTCAGCATGCTAGTGCTAGACAGCACCCCAAATATCATATCCTGGATGACATGGGAGTAGGAGATAGGTAGCTCATGGTGCATTCGAGGCCATGATACTGAAATTAGCTGACACCCTTGGGGTCCAGCCTCATCATTAGGGTGTGCCCATGTTCTGGGTGACCCAGTAAATCTGGCTCTGTCATATTGCAGCCGCACACCCAGGCAAATGGATGCACTTCTTCATCCCCCAGTCTCTTCATTTGTAAACTGAGAAGACACTACATTTTGCCTTGTGGGGCTTGCTGAACAGATAATGGGAAGTATATACCTGGTGCAGAGCTTGGCATAAAGTCCTGTTAGCTAGGAGTATTCACTTAGGAAATACACTAAGTAAAGATATCACCAGACAGTGTTTATAAAGCTCCTCAGCTTCTCAGATGAGGAAACTCAGACAGAGTGACTCAGATGGCATCCTGAAGCCTGGAAGTGGGGAAGGGGACTTAGCCATTCAACCAGTCATTGTCCTTGACGTATGCAGAGCTCCTGTTCCAACTTTCTGTTCTCTCTTTCTTTCTCCAAATTGTCTGCTGCTATAATGAACACACAAGAGCTGGGCCTAGTGATGTTCCCAACATTGGGAGGAGGAGACAGGAAGATCAGGAGTTCAAGTATGGACACACTTTGGACCAACTATACATTTTTAATATAGATGTTTTGTTTTAAGAATTTGCAGCAAAATGTTATGCAAGGGACTGGTCCTACCTCAGATTTCTGACTGCCCTGGCTCTAACCTTGACCTCTGACTGCCCTGGCAAGATGAGAAAGCAGCTGTGGGTTAAGTTGAGTCTTTGAACCTGATGCTTTCATCCTTTCTTCTTCAGAAGCAAAAATGCTGGGAGAGGAATAATTTATTTTGCTTCATTTTAAATCTCATTCCTGGTGTCTGTCCATCTAGCTGGCAAGGCTAAAACAAGTGAACACGGTTGTTCCTCTTTTGTCCTTTCTTTTGATATGATTGTAATATTGTAATTACATATTAATGACAAGCTTCCATGCAACTTAATGAAATAGGGGGGAAAAGGTTTATACTCTTCTCTTTAATTATGATACTTGATTAAGGTTACCTGGAGCACTGCTCCCTACCACCAACTCATTATCTAGGTAGAACTGCTTGTCTCTCTCTCTCTCTCTCTCTCTCTCTCTCTCCGAGACAGGGTTTCTCTGTGTAGCCCTGGCTGTCCTGGAACTCAGAAATCTGCCTGCCTCTGCCTCCCAAGTGCTGGGACTAGAGGTGTGTGCCACCACTGCCCGGCGAACTGCTTGTTTCAAAAGCAGAGTAAGGTTCCTTGAGAGAGACAGCCTAGTGGGTAAGTAAGGGTTTTTGCTATACCAGTGTGAAGGACATTAATGTGAACACCCAGAATCCATGTAAAATGAGGACAGTAAGACATCTGTACCCCAGTGCTCCTGCAGCAAGATGAGACAGGAGAACCTCCCAGAAGTTCCAGGGACAGCTGGCCTGACATACACAAAGGCTAACAGCAAACAAAATTCTCTGTGTGTGTGTGTGTACGTGGGGTTGTGTGTGTGAGACAGAGAGACAGACACAGAGAGAGATAGTAAATAAAAGAGACACACATAAACACAGAGAGAGAGAGAGAGAG